CTATCAAAGATTAAAGATGGAAGATGCTTTCCAAAATTTTTCATGCAACCCGCTGTCAACACATCCGGTGTACGATAGGTTTCCTTTTATGTATACATCTTTATTCAATCAATAGCACTATGAAGAACGACATAATCTCATAAAGAATTCAAAACTCGGTTGCTGCCCTCCAATTCTGCAGTTTTACTGATTCTGATCTTCAAATGTTGGGTCTCAATTCTCAGACCCTTTCAATCATATTGCGGTGTTGAATTATTGGGTTTTCAAATTCTCGAGGACCTCTTTGAAAGTAAAGGTCAAAAACACTCATATAAGTCTACTTGAAAGCATTCGTCAATCTTAGTATTCATTTAGTCGAACGTTGGAAAAAAATCGATGGTGGGTAATAAAGTTCATATGCTTATCATAAGTCGCTAAGCATGAAGTGAAAAGCCGATCACAGATATTCAAGTCATTAACAAATTTGAATTTCAAGATATTGTATGTCGATCAACTACCGTTCTGCTACTATACATCAAAATACGTTGTGGAAGAAAGTATTACAGATTTATGGAAATCTTCTCGTCGCCACTGATCAGGAGATATTCAACTTGAAAACTGCTTGAATCAAATAATACTTGAGCACTTACGCTGGTCGAGTGGTTAGTGATGCAGGCTAACAATTAGCTAGGTGATAGTTCAACTACATCCTCGAGAGCACCTTCAATCCACATGTGGACGGCTGTGCTGGGCTATCTTCACAATTACGAATAACTGACTCGACCAGCACACTATAACAGTCACAAAGAAGCGGAAATGCTCAAGTAATAGCCCCAACAGCATAAGTGTCCAAAAACTTCCATGGAAGCTGCGTGTAATGAAGCGAATCTAGTGCAAGAAGTGATTGGATCTGCCCAGACATGGGACGATAGATCACGGGAATAACAAACAAGTCTACTTAACACATCTATATCTTGTAACATATGGCCTGAAGCCGGTTTTTTCGCAATTTTCTACTAACTTTTTGATATCTAAAATACCTAGGAATTTGAAGAGAATGTGATTTACCTATAAAAGAGTTTTCGCTCTGCCTATACAGAAAATATACGGTTCTGTAACATTGCTTTTTGATTCTTGAGTCTCAGAAAAATACTGTTAAGGGAAAAGAAAACGAAATTTGAAATTTTAGAAAATTCTGAACGAAATACCGACAGACTTGAGTTTCAGTAGCGCATACGTTTGAGGACACCATCGTATTCTAATAGAAGAATAACACTTGCCCTACTTATTTCATTTTTGAAGTACAAGCGTCGACGCAAAAAAAGTTGTTAGAATAAGTTCGGCGCATTCGAGAAAGTCAGTATTGAAAAACCAAAAAGCTTTTCTCCCTTTGCAAGATAGTATAGATTTTTAACATAATCAGCAAGTTTTACTTTGGCTATGTACGGTAATTAAAATTTGAGAGCAACCATGTTTTAGCATCGTATGAGTGAAAAACACCTCCTTTCGGCTCCTGACTGCGAAGAAAATTGGATTAAACCACTCGAACGGGAACAAAACACGTCATCAAGAAATTTGTGTCTAAATCTTGCTTCTTGTCGACATGGCCTCCTCTCAGGAAGAGCGAGTAATCCAGAATTATGTTAAATTGATAGCTAAGCTTGACGAAATAATGCAACTGCGATCAAGAAGTGTGAACGAAGGCAATTCATGACACGTTAGGGAACGAATCATGGTGAGTATCTTTGATGATTGAAAAACTCGTAACATTAATCGTCGACGGATCTTCGAAGAACTGCTGCGACCAGCTGAAGAACTAAAATTAGAACTAGTATAATTATATACGACACCAATAGCCCCGCATCGGATTTCGCGCTTCAACACGAAGGCGAGTAGTTATTGGCAAGTCACAAAATTCTACGACTCAAAGGCTCAAAACATGTCAGATTATGCATTATTTTGAGCGAGGTCTATAAAAACAGTTGAATGCAAACCTTGAAATTTACGTAATTCAAAACGGTATAGAACGATAATTTAGCAACAAATGAAAGTGCTCTTTAGGTCATTCAAATTCCGACCGAAATCTATTTTCAACCTTGAAATTCCGGAATTGTTTTCTTATGACAGAATATATTTAGATGACAAAACGATGTCTGCGAACTTGATATTTATGGAGAATAGCAATTTGAAAGAAAGCTTATTAGTAAAATTTGATCAGCTTTGGTAGGGCATAAATTTGGGCTTCCCCAATATCAGCTGTTAAGCGTGACTTCAAGACATATCGGTCAGGCCTCGCTGTTGATGGACGATGAATCACCCATCGTTCTCGCGGAATTAAATAAGTAGACTTTTTGGAAAGTAAGCCATTTATTTATTTGTAGACCATTTATCCTAGATGAGTAGTTGTGTTAGAGGTGTGAAAAAAGCGAAAGCCATGTACAAAATTGTATTCTTGATTGGTAATCGTAGTTTTACGAAATAACTCGCACAGTGCATCAAGAAAACACTCAGAGGCGCATACAGTAAAGTTTCATGTGAATCAACTCAAGATCAAGACGATTGAGCCTTCCGTTCCTCTGAAATCTATCTTGCTTCTTGCTGAAATACCTCGCATCGTAAGGAACAGTACCTGCCCCTATTAAGCATCTGAAATACATCAGTTAAGCTATTTCAGATCTCAAGCTAAAATCAGTTCGACCAGAAAGTGCCTACACCTATGAAGAAGGCATAAGTCCGAAAAAGTAACAAAGCCGCAACGGAAAGCTGAAAACATTCGTGAATGGCGGACACAAGATGGTGAACTGAATAGAAGAAGTACCTGGATCCACGCATTATGGAAACGAAATCACAAGTAGATTAAAAAAGTTATGTGCTCAGTGATGCGTCGTTTGCTAAGCAAAGAGCGTTAGATTTGTTTTGAGATAGCCAAAAAATGACTTCATGCCGAAAAGCACACATGTTTCTGACTACAGCTGCAACAGGCGCTGAACTCGCGATCCCAACATATGTAGTCTAGTCTAAGCCAAATCGGCCAACGATCAACAGTCATTTTCTTTTTAGGCTTTCCTATCACTGCTTACGACAACGACTACGTCGGGACAGCATACTAACCTTTATCATTAACGAGGGTAAACTGGCTAGAAATTCTTTAGTGTTTTTAAAAACTCAATGCAAAGTCCATCAATCATTGCTCCATAACAGTTGATGGCGGAGTTTTAATGTGAAGAACGATCAGTGAGAAAACAAGAAATTCTTATCATTCCAATTTGGATTTATTTGAAATCTTTTTTCACAAAAACTCAACCTCATTTGTCTATTTTTATGTCTTTCACCTTCACAGTTTTTAATGTACAAGACTTCATGCATTGTAGAAAGCTTTTGAAAAAAGACATTGATATAAAAATATAGATCATGGACGCTTACAAATGCAAAATAATAAAATGCCAAAGTAGAAATGTTCCACACTTTTAAGACAGTTATATAATTCAATTTTCGCTGCTACAACGTAATACAAAGGCTTTCTTATGAAACAAACATGTTGTTAAAATTGCAGAGATCCAAGCTTTTGAAATAATACCATGTTTAAGAGAAAAGTTAGCCCAACGAGAAAAGTCCCTAAACAATTGTGTACCATAGCTGATACACGTCGTACCTTAGGGTTAAAAAGCCTACTGATATCGAATGGCTCAGAAATACACTTATATTAAAGGATTTACGAAGAAAATACATATATCAAGTAAGTTCTGGAGAAAAAGCCTGTAAATCATTGGTCGTACACCCACATAGAGAACAATATGGTTGTGAATCCTAGATACATAGTAATACTTTGAGTTATTGTGGAAGAATCAAGCAGACTGATCTCTCCTTAAGTTCTTCAAAAGTTCTACTTCAATGAAAACATATGTAACAAATTACTGTCGAAAACAAGGAACACAGTGGAAGGTGAAGCCGTTGATTACCAGATTGATTACCTATTGATGATTTGACCCATCATCGGGCTCATCGAGCCCCTTATAACTCTGGAGCCGGGAAAATGTTGTAAGGCTTGTACAGGAAGAATTTATTGTAGCACTCTAGCCTTGCTATCCAAGGACTTCAGGATAAATTGTTTTCACCACAAATCATGGCCGTTCCTAATGAAAAGGATAGTGCTCAAACAGCAGCGGCCGAGAGCATGAAAATTACAAAAACCTACGAGAATGATTGATGCGAGGAAATGAATTGAGTGCAAGAAGTGCTGGCATTTGTGCACAGGTGATATGAGGATGCGTCTTGTAAAGTAATGAGAAAAATTATGTCAATAGTTTAGAAAACTTCCATATCAACAGACGAGATGTTTTTATCACTTTGTTCACAGTGTTGTGCTTGTAATAACGAAAAGAGAAACAATAAAAGTCATTTCTAGTAATTTCCTACCGTTAAGAAGAAGAAGAAAGGATAATAAACGCAGAGTAGGGTATAAGTGTTATGAAAGAATGCACAGACAGCATTGAGTTGTATGATCTCTCGCTTCCCATTCCCCTTTTCAAAGTCTTACTAGAGGAGCAAGGAACTGTGGACATGAGTATAGAATCTACCGCACTGCAAGACCAGTTTGAAAGAAATGTGCTCAATTTTTAATTTTTATATCTATATTGATGAATGTGAAACAGTCTTGAATAAGCAAAAGGGGACGGCAGGTGCGAAGGAAGTTGAACCCAAGAGGCGTGATTGAAGAGTGTCCCTCAATTGTGCTCACATTGCCCATCATTTTCAGAAATGAAGATAGTTTTTGCTTTCAGATACTTAAATGAGATAATCATTAGACTTCTGCATCGTCGAGCGGTCAGAATACGCTGTTCTTCTGGGCGAAAACGGGTTGCAAGGTAGTTAACTACTCTCCGATCCGCATGAAGAGCGTAAAGCTGTTTTTCGAGAATAACTCAGAACATTTTAGTATGACTGTCTAGATATTTAAGGAGACATCACATTCATAGAACAACCCATATATCCAATACTGTGGAGTGCTGTGCAAAAACATTTACGTCAGCCGAGATTTGAACCCAGATCCCACTCTTTTCGGGAAAGCCTGCTAAACCGTTGCAGTAGCGACGCTAATCCATAGCAATGAGAAAAGAAGACAACAGAACCTCGGGTGGCAGGGGAACTCACCAGAATCTGACCAGCCTTTATTATTGGCGGCATGGTTGCCGGACAACGAAATGAATGGAAGACGTCCACGTAATTGTTTTTTTATGAAATTACTGCTTGGAGGACAAATTAAACTGCTGCAGAAAGCGAAGAAAAATTTTATGCACGAATTAGAGGCAAATAAAAAAGTGTCAGGCTTTTCAAGCGCTTTAGAATTCTATATGTATATATACATATTTATTTATTTATTTATTTATTTAATTATTTTTCTTCTATGTGCATGATATAGTGAGTCAACGTAGTATAAAATAATAGTACAATATAATATAACAGCATGATATACTAACTTTGCAAATTATATCCCTTCATAAAATTGAAAGACACGAACTGATGGAACGTCTCTGGTATTTCGCAATATATTTACGTAATAGATAAATAGGAGTGAAGTCACTGCAAACACCGAAGAAGAAAATCAAAGTAATTGAAGGGAAGACTGCGTGACTTGGTGTATAAATGTGGGCTGAAATTGAAAATAATTAGAATACTTCATTGGTTTTAGTGAACATACTTCCCGCATAGTGCATAAGTTTAAGTTATAAATAATACACAATAAAATCATCGCGTGAATTCATTCAAAAAAATTAGTTGAAGGATGTTAAATGCTACAAACTGAATCAAAGAAAAAACAGCATAACTAAGCTAAAATTCATTTTAAATTATCGCTAGCCTCGTATTAAGTTTTTTAAGTGTTGTTGACAGCAGCAGTTGTAATGTAGCGCCAGCTGATTGAAAGATCGAATGCCTGTCATTGACCTAATCAGCAGCTAATGATAAGAATAGCTACACATGACAAAAAACACCAGCCGATGACCAGCGTATGAAAATCTCTTCTTACAGCAACAATTTGAACACTTTGGAAAAGAATTTTGGAAAAATGCTTGAAGAATCTTAACATATTAATCTAATTAGGCTTTTCCGGCCGATAAGAATCATTTCGACGCTCAGTTTTTTAAGGGTCGTTTACGTTGAAGAAGGCTTTCTGAATAAAATCCTAGAAGGTACTCGAATGCTCAAGTCTTGGCGATTTCTTGGCTGCTTGAAAAAACCTTTTTATTGCGTTATGATAGAGAGAATAAAATTATGATTCACATTCGGCGGCGCTCTGATGGCGTGGTCTCTGAATAGTTTTTCATTGGACTATACTGATACTTTTTAGATAGCACAGATCTCAGCAATTCCAAAGTTATATTTGGTTTTCATGGTGTGTTGTACACGAGAAAAATGAATTGTTATTGCGAATCTTCTTATCACATAAGAGCTATATATGCACAAAAAGTATATGAGCATGTAAAGAAATTTATAGAATATCTGAATTATACAAGAAACGCAGAGTTTTTTCCATAACGAGAAAAAAATCCTTACTAAGTAACGAAAATCGCGCGCTGCGTACGACCATATCGATTATGCTGCCGCCCCCAAAAATTAATAAAGCAACCACTGTGACGCGATTAGTCGTGTTGTTATAAGTACTAAAATCAGTGCTGAACAGTTAGGTTGTCGTGAATGTGACTGCCGCCGAAAAGAATCATGCAGTGATGTAAGGTAGAACTTCCGCCAATGATTTTCCGCCTTAAATTCGTTGGACGATATTCCTGAGCGTTGAGTTATCATGTACAGCAAATTCATACATTCGTCAGCGTCTACCAAAATGAGAAAGCGAAAATTCTTAGCCAGCGATTCATATAAGGCTAAACCAAGACGAGGTAGCGCCGTGCAACAAACATTCCCTCCTCCTCATCATAGGTACTTTGAGCCTCCAAAAAAGCAAATTGCTGAAACGATCGATCAGAAATGTCAGACTCAAACTTGTATAGGAAGCTTTGGAACCGGACCAAGACAAAACGTCATCAACATGCCATAAATCTGTTTCTTACTTACAGGAGTGTTAAGATACGGACAAAACTTGGCTGAGAGAAACAGAGCCTATGGCTCTGTGATGTAGTACGAAAGCGCGCGCCCGCAAAAAGGTAGCAATGGTTCGAGTTCACTTTACAAAAATCAGGTGTCACGTTTTACCTCATATCAGCACTTTTATGCTTATATTTCATATCCTATCCTTCCACTAGAAACGAACTAGGCGGTAAGTAGACGTTGTGTTTTTTGCTTCTCACGTCCAACATCAAATCGGTCTCTTCAAACACTAGCTTTCACCGTATTTCTAATTCCGCTGGTTGTGCGAAATTCTGCTTGTTAATCTCAGATAGTAGTATAAAAGTAAAAGACCGGCATGACTAGAAAATAAAGTAGCCTTACCTGGAGCGTTTGCAGTGCAGTGGTCAGAGGTTTCTCGCAATACAAGCATTGATTTTAGCTTTACCCCTCGCCCAAACAGACCAGACTTTCCACACTTGCAGAGTCGGATGACTGGCAGTGAACTAGACTGGGAGGATAGCAAGGCTAACTTGACATGCGAGTAGGTCCTCGCAAGTCATTGTATAGACCATGAAGTCACGCTCACGATAATTAATAAATTTGAATGCATGACGCATTTACAAAAATTGATCAACGCCAAGCAGTGTACTCTTTATTCTTTAAATGCTTGTGAGCGATCGTAGCGACAGCTCCATGCCTTAAAGTACTCTCCTGTTCTGCACAAGAAAAATTCAGTAGTTTTCGTATATGTCCAAACCTAACTTCTTAAGAGGTTCCTTCTACAAAAATGTCATTGACAAAGTATGAATCGGAGGAAAACACTATATTCTTCATCTTCACCTTTGTAGACTGTTATCAAATATCCTTGCCAAACTGTCGTGATTGCGCTTTATTAGCCAAAACTACTGGTCCAGTAACATGTCAGTCCATCTACCCAGTTTCCGTTATGTTATCGAATGAATCAGTAGCTATGCCGAGTGAGTCTCAGCTTCTTAAGAGAGGATTTCAGATCATATCTGAATCATCACCAAATAGTCATTGCGTATCTACATCTTGTCTATACGGTACGCTTCAAGTAGTCTCTGGTGGAGAACTCTCTTAATTATTAAAGAAGAAAGCTACCCAATAATGTGGAGTGGTGTGCAAAAACATCCACGTCAGCTGGGATTAGAATTCAAATCTCACTCTTTCCTGGAGCGCGTGCTGAACCATTGCACCACCAACGCTCGTTTTGCACACCTCTCTTTCTACGCTACAACGCGTTATCTGCCAACAGAAAAATTACCGAAGGCGGTTCCAAAAGAACTATTTCGGAAATTTGCCTCCTGGACTGCGCAAGCATACTATTCGACTATAAATCGTAATGAACGAGGAAGAAATAATTTTAACATGTATTTTGGCCCTTTCATGAGATCTGTTATGGGTACCTATACAGTGCAAGACACGTGTTTCGGCCTTACAGCCTCGTCAGTAGCACGGTGCCTTTTCGTTCAATCAGTTCTTCGGAGATCTATATACCCCTACATAGAAGAATCGACGACGAATTTTTCCAACTCGGCCTACGGTGAAATATCACCGTGGCGTTCTTTCACAGTGATTGATTGTCGATTGCATGGTGTATGGCTGTTACGTGGACACGTGTTACAAACAACGCAATCGACTAGCTTGCGACCTAAGAACAATATAATCTGACGATGTAAATTGAGCCTCTCATGAAGATGAAATAGTCCCATCTTTCGTGACATGAAAATGATACCAACTAACTTAGTTTTCTTACAAGAGCAATCCGGCTTTTCTATCAAAACATCTCACTTGGAGTGAAACCGACATAGTTTTAGGATTGAAGATAATCAGAAGTCCTTAGAAATAGAAGGTGTGAACTCTTTGTATCAACTCCAATGGCAAATCTTCAAAAGGAAGACTCCCACACTGGTGAAAGACTTTGTTCATGAGTCTGCTTGAAAAATATTTGACACATTCGATTATCGTGATCATTACCGGATTCACGGACTGGGTGTGTTTTAGTGAAATCTTTACGAACAATGATGCTGATAGTTCAAGGGCTTTGCATGGTGCTCAACTAGCTAAGTAATCAACAAGGCATTGGAATGTGTCGTATTTAGTGCCCAAACAAAACGGGGATCAGGGAGGAGTGCCGAAATTACCAGATGCACTTTGTTAGAAACTTTTTAAGCTACGAATTAGGCACACAGAAGCTACACTCTTAGAGCTCGTTTGCCAATATCTGCATTCGCTTTGCAAGAGAAGCTCAGCTGAACGCTATCACAACATCACCACGAGGATAGCTCTCTTTCACCGACCGCTACATCCATCAAATGAAAAGCTTTCCGACGGCTTGAAATTCTTTACCGCTGCAACAGTGAATAGTGAAGTCGGTTGATAGGGTAGAAAAAAATAAACGCACTCCTGATATTTTCGTATTTAGTCTTGATTTTACGTCAGCTCCTTTCTCGAGGACTAACAGTTATGTAGAAACAGTGCTCAAAGTGGTCAACAAAGAGAGGTAAGCGATCTCTGCACAGTAATTGGAAGAAGGCCTAGTACATAACATAAGGTAATATGTATATCAAGTTAAAATAGCCCTCAAATTTACAGAGCTCATGCTAAGCGCCCACTAGTTTAGGTGTCAAAGTGATATGAAGGACAAGCTGTACGAAGGAAAGTGATCAGTATAAGCCATACAGCGTCATTACCAAAAACACAGTGGCACCTGACGTGACTAGCTTAGTAATCGTAAATTATTCCGAAGGTTCTGCTCCACAATTAAGATGTGTGTTGAAACTTCAAGAACGTCAGAAATTTTTCACATTACGAAAATAGCGCCTAAGTGGCGTTTAAGGAAGTACAGTCGGTGCACACAGAAAAAAAATTGAACACATAATCTGAGAACTATGATGCGAAACACAAAGACTACTCAGACACACACAGCAGAAAAGGGCGTGAATGTCAAAGGACTGAAGCTGGTTGGATATCACAGAAGTGATCCAATACTTTAAGTTGAATTCAACCAA